TTGCACCCTCTTGAAGCAAACAGTTTGCATTCTAATCAAAACATTCACTTCCATCTCATTGAGGGTAATACTCTGAGAACAAAGGGGAGTAAGTTTCCAGAGAAACTGTGATGCTGCGTCTGTGGGAAGGTATAATAGGGTAATTTAGTATTATCAACTGAGTTGAAAATGCAAATTGGCCACCATAAAGAGTTTCAAAGCTTTGAAATGCAGCTTTGAAACTCTTTTACGGTGGCCAATGTATGTTATCAACTCAGTTGATAACACTTTATTACCCTGTTATACTCTGAAAAAACTTTTCCTCATGGATATATTCATTTAAGTTGGACACGCGGTAGCCTGATGATTAGCGCACTGTTCCCTGGGTGGAGATGTCTTGGATCGAGACCTAGGCACTTCACTGCGTTGTATTCTTGGGCAAAACACTGGACTTTCACAATGCCTCTATCCACCCAAGAGGATAGATGGGTAACTGCGAATTGTCAGGGAAGCCTGATAAAATGCTAGGGGGTAACCATGCAATGGACAAACGTTCCATCCAAGGAAGAGAAACGATACTCCTCGTTGCTTCATGCTAAGGACACAAGGATAAGCTCTGGCTAGGTGGACCACATGACTGCAGAGTTTTTGACATATCAAAGCTTCAGACATTCAGACTAACATTACAAGTACATTGAACAAGACCTCTAGTTTCAGATGATAGACATTTTGACATATCAAGGGGGAGGGAAGGGAAAGGGGAAGGGGAATTCAACTGACACTTATAGCCTATTTTGGCACTAAGTTTGCAGAGAGGAGCAGCAATATAAAAACAAAAAAAAGAGGAACTAGGGAAGGGAAAAAACAAAGAGATTCTAAACCCAGGGGTTTCAATAACTTCTTCCATAAGCATCTGTTAATGACACAATACGTGGCTGCCTAAGGTGAAACCCAAACAAAAGCGCCTGTGAGAGGTCAGCAGTACACCACAAGTCACTGACTTTTAATGAAACCCTTGCTAACCCCCTACCACAGCACACTTGTTTGCTTTTTGGCTCATCATCACGGACCAAGAGGTATGGAGCTTGTTGACTGAGATGTTCCTGATGAAACACTTCAGTTTATTAAGAGGTAAAATTATGACAAAATACTGTCATGTGGGGATAAATCACCAACTCTTACCTTTGTGGGAGGCCCCTCTGGAGATGATAATTGTGCTTCATCTGTGATGCTGAAATAAAGTAGACCAACACCAGTTTAATTTTTACCTTCAGAAATCGTAAGTGCCAGCTCAAGTTATCCCTTGCACTCACACTATCTTTTTATGTTTTTTTTGGGCTTGATTCCACAATCCTTTGGAAGAAACAGGTTTTTAGTGTTTCTCAAGGATGCAAGAACTTTTGTTGTTTAATTCCCGTTGTGGATTCTGGGCACTATTATTGGTCTTTTCTAATCCTTAAAATTACCACAAATAGACCTCTTTAGCAGGTACATTTTT